TTTAAGTCAGTACAGACCACCACGTGCAATGATTTCAGCAATAGTCTTGAAAAGCTGATCACCGAGATGAAAATTCCCTAAACATATTCTGGAATGCATCAACCCATTAATTAATACAATTTTTCGTCATAGAGCATAACCCTGAGCAAGCATGTTCCAAAGGCAGATAGCATTCTAATGAACAGTGTGTGCGGCTAATCCTCTCTGTTACAGAATACAAGGTTTATTTGCATAAATTTGTGAGAATTAAGGTGAAGTACAGAGGCAGGTACTGTACTGAGACAGGATACTGATCAGAAATATTATCAGTAATATACTTGAATTGTTTTGTGACCTAAAGACTTTACTTAGGTATGACTCAGGGTTGCATTGTGCAGCCCAGCTCCTCTGAAAAAAAAAAAAAAGTGTTTGTGATAATGTCTGAGTATTATTTTCTAATTCTTAGAACTTTCTGAAAGCTACATTTTAGACTAGTCTTTTGCATCTGTTCTTGTTCATCTGAATGTTCTTGGAAAATCAAACGAAACTTACTTATCGTTTCTGTTGTGAGTGGGTGTTTAAGTGTTTATTTTTCTGTTTTAAAGGTTATTTTGCTACTTAGCTTTTTATATGTCAGAACAGGAACCAAAATCTGAAGTGTGATAAGTGCTTTTCGAAAAAACTTTTTATAGTTGAAGTTATTTGGCATTCAAAATCGTATCTTTAACATGTGGAAGATATTAGAAAGGATTTTATACTTTTTTAGTAACCCACGTGATGCAAATTTGCAGTTTGTGTACATGTGGCTGTACTGATACATGAAACGTTAAATGGGATTTTCTCTCTAATCTGATTTGATATAGAAGTGCTCAAAGAGTTACCATGTGAATTTGCTACTTACAATATATTGTAAGCACTATTGTTTGTGAAGAAAGAAGTGTGTATTTGGTTTTTCTTTTTTGTTAAGTCTCGGCACACATGTCTGTTGAGATAGCACTTTTACTACCAAGTTTACTTTTGGGAACTGTCAAAAGATTCAGTTTTTTTCTTGAGAAAATTTCTAGTCCTGTGCATCTCTTGTGTTACCTGATTGGGTAATGAGCGCAGCTTGCTGGGGCTGAAGTAGTCCACGGACCTTACACCTAACTTAGAAAATGGGAGGTATTAGCCTGAAGGTGCTCAAAGGCTAATCTCCCAACTGTAGAAATAACTATGTTACTTACCACTACTAATGCTCTATGTTCTTACATACTTGCATCAATCTCTGTTCTGCTTTGTCATTTTCCAGTGTAAAATACTGAGTTCTAACAAGGTTTCTTCATATATGTGTTTACATATATATATATAAAAATAAAAATAAATTCTCATGTCAGGATAATACTGGCTTTTTCCCCCAGTAATCACAGTAATAAAACTGAATTATTTTCATCACACTGCTTTATGTTTCCATAATGCTTCAAACAATACAATGTAACAGAATATTTAGAGAGGACCGTATTCAGGAGTAACGATAGAAATGAGTGAATACTGATATCAGATGAAAAGGAATTAACCTTAAATAGCCTCAACCAAATCCACTTAACAGGAACCATAAAATGAAAAGTACATTCTTAATTACTTTTTTTCGTATTATTATTCTGCTATTTTAATGTTTGGATAGCTAGATCTTGAAAAGCATTCTGGAAAATGGTAAATATACTGAAAACTGAAGCCTAAGTTTCTCCGTGGAAAATTCCAAAATAGAGAAGGGAAAAAAAAAACCAATGCTGAGGGTGTGGGAACCAGAGTAAAAAATCCAGTGTATTTTACTTTCAGCATTCAAAATTAGTTTATATGATTAGTTGGTTTTTAACCATAGTTTAAGTATCCTATGGAAATGAAATGATTGATAGAAAGTTTCATGGCAAGAATTATATTTTTCTGGCTGGTTTTGCCATTTAAAACTTTCTCCGAGATGAGCTAAATGTTCTTTGATTAAAAAACTGTGATACTCAGATATTGAAATATGAGACATTGTTATCAACCCGTGCTTTAAATCCTTGTTGAAAACAGTTTGTCTATGTAAACTGTCTGAATTAGTGTAGTTCTGCTGCATCTTGTGTATATTTCATGTAGAAAAGACATCTATTTTTACATGACATACTAGAAATGTCATGAAGCAAAAATTCACTGTGCGTTTAAATTAATAATACTGTATATGTAATTACCTGAGATGTTTGAGAGTTGACTCCAGCAGGTGAGTAGCTATGGGGTGTAAAATAGACAAATGACAGATTCTATCAGTTTGTTTTGCATTGCCTTGATTTCTGAAGGTAATCTATTCCCATGGTAAAGTTATCAAAATCATTGAAATGAAGCAAAAATTCCAGTTTTTCATTCTTTATATTGAGATGAAAGCTATAATTTAAATTTCCAAGCAAAGTTTGGGTAAAGGACTATAAGAAGAAGTTTAAAGAATGCCCCTAATCTGAGATCTGGTACAAGATGTGTCTGATGCCCAAAATATGTCATATGTGTCTTCCATTTTGAAAGGAACGCAATTCAGAGGAGCACAGAAAATGTCATATTATCTTATACTGCGTATGATACTGGCTAGTACCAGATGCTGAATCACCGAGGATTTTTTAATTTTATTCTTACAGTTTGTTTTATTCCTATACCTAATAGCCAAAAAGGTACAATCTCCTCTTCTTCGTGCTTTGCTTTTACACCTTAATGAGCTTAGAAGATGATTTGGCTGCTTCTGCAGACAAGAGGAATTCATACGTTATATCGTGCAGCTGCCATGTGCATCTTTCTGTTAATGTTACTCAAGCTAAGCTGTTATTTGTAGCTGACACTTCCTTATGCTTCCCTTTTTTATATATATATATATATATATATATGTGTATGTATATATATACACATACATATGGGTACACACAGACACACATATGGATAAAAGTGTGTCTGTATGTGTATACGTGTGTCTTTATATGGATATATGTGTGTGTCTTTGCTGATAAATGAGCTTATATGCTGGCTCCAAGTAGGTGCCCATAGCATCAGAGGTTAATCAGAGTAGCACTGCACATAGTCAGGTTAGAAGTAGATTAAAATCACGAGATCAGTGCATCACATTAATGTAGCTATGTTATTTCTGGGGCCTGTGGTGGTTTTACAGTGTTGTGCAGGATAGATAAAGTAGTTAGATGTTAGGTCAGGTACCCTTGATGATGGTGGTATGCTCTATACCCTTTGATTCAGTTCTGAAAGTCTTTCTCTTAAACCAAGAGTGGATAGTAGAGAAGAGAACAGTACTATTCTATTTCACTAGTAATGGGAGGGGAAATTAAAGAGAAGCAGAGTGTCTCAAGCTAATATTTGATTCTTTATGCTGGCCTGTGAACTAATGCCAGGATTGGTAAAGGAAAGTGTCATTGCAGCAAACGTAGAAATCCCACAAGTTTGAATTATAATGTGTGTTCTTGGCTCAGGAGACCATTTTCATCTAGTTGGTTTAAGATGACGGTTTTGAGCATATATGCCTATATCTCATTAAAAACAAAGTTTTCCCCAGTTCACTATCAAATTATCAGGAAGTAGATTGTTCCATTACACAAGAGAAAAGTACCAAACAAGTTTCATAAAAACACCAGTTCATAATACATGCAAATAAGTGTGTAAGTTGCACCTAAGTCTTTCATGGAGAGAATTAGAGTCTGAAGAGAGGATTCAGCAAAGAATTAATATAGATGCCTGCTGTTGTACAGACATTGATAGTTGTTGACAAAATGACACATTTCGATCTGATTGTAGAACACAAAAAGGTGTTTCACAGTGTTGTTCAGTTTAATAAAGTGTGCTGAAGGCTATATCACCAAATATTGTGGATTGCTGCATAATAAAAATAAACTGAACCGGAGATCTGTTTTCAAGAGCATCACTGTGAAGCTCCGCTAGCTTAGTTATGAGCTCTTCAGATTGTAACTTAGTTACTGGTAAACCTGGAAAACAATCCTGATTTGGAAGGGATAACTGCTGACACAGGCAGTGGAAGATATTTTGTTATGTAGGGAAGCATATACCCTGTGCCTTTCCTGCTTTTGTCATCTTCCAGGTCCTGTTGTTTGTCTTGTTTTCTCCCAACTTCTCTCAAGCACATGGAATGGGAAAACAAGAGCTCTGGAAGGGATATCTGCTTGCTCCAAGCACACCTTCTCTTTGTCTTGTCCAACAGCTTAATACTAAAGATGAATAGGCCTCCTGACTGCACATGTGTGTAATCTGCTCCTGCTGCTGGCCTCCAGACTAACTACCAGTCCTGTACAACACTTCAGCCAGTCTGACACTAATTTGCTGCTCTTGGTGTTACAGATGCTCTCTTTACTCTTGCGTGCTTTTTCTTCCTGTGCAGTTTATGGTCAGTGAAGCCGTCCTTTCCATCACCAAGCAGCTGTGCAGCTGCCTGTTTGCAGTTAGGTGCTCGTGAATCTCGGTTTGTAAAACTGCATTCAGTCGAATAAGCTTTCAGGACACTCTTGGAGCACTTTCTTTGGCAACCCTACGTGCTCTTTTCATGCTTCAGCATTGGAAAAAGCAAGTTGGGTGTTCCTGCATTACCTGCCAGTGTCACATCTCTGCCCTGTTCCCAGAGGGCTTTCATTACTATTGCCTTAGTGAACGTAGCAGTGAAACTCCAAATGACTGTTATGGGTGCTTCTGCCATACAGCCTCATCTACAGGAAGATGTAAATTTTCTATGCTTGAACTGACTATAGTAGTTTGCAAAGGATGTCTTTAATTTCTAGATAGATGCAATTTCATAATTGCTGTATACATCAGGCATTTATTTCTGAGGACCATAATTGGGTTTTGAAGGCATACCTGAATAATGAAGCTGAATGTTTAGAATTGGGGAAATCTGTGGAACATACCTGTTTATATTATGTGTTTTCCTTTTCTTTTTTTAGCATATTTTGTAATGTTCTATTTAGCACCCAGGAGAGAAACATTAAACAGCCCTGCATTTTGTTTTACAGTGTGCAGTGACCTGGAATTCAGGGAAGTTGCAAACAGATTGAGAGACTGGTTTAAGGCACTTCATGAAAGTGGAATTCAGAATAAGAAGACTAGGATTGTTCAAAGGCCTGAAAGAACCAGTAAGAGATTTCTACTTGTCTTATTTGATGTTCTCTTTGATACGTTTCCGTACTTTTATATTTCAGTTGCTAAGACTTGCCTTATTCTTGTGTGCTTTAAATAGACGTGTACAAAACTGTAACTTCGTGTTTTTCTAAAGTTAATTTCTTATTTATGGCTTACTGCCGATAGAAGATGTTCACTTTAAGCTTTCAACGTTTTTGGCAGACCTCTTGCTTATACGAATTTATGGCAGCTACCATTCATAATGCTTTCATTTGGGAATGCCATCAAATTGTCTGATAGAGCCCGATAGAGCTTGACAAAACAAAAGGAGCAAGTAGGGATTTTGAGCAACTTTTCCATAGAGAAAAGTGAATTGCTAACTGGTTAGCCCTAAGAAATAATATACAGGAGCTGTAATTATGTGTGACCCGTCATTACTAGTTGATGCCAATGTAGGCACTGGTGTAGGAAAATATATAGAAAAGAAGCTTGTGAGTATAAAGGATTTTTTCCAGAATATACTTCAAATTGGAAAAGACTCAACAGTACTAAGGAATTAGACACTGTAGAGACTTATTTTGGTTTTAAGCCCCTCAGATATTTAAAGAGGGTTTTTTTTGGTGTTGTGGAAAGTAGTGAAATTTAAAATGTAGTTATCAAAGGGATTATTTAAATAGCAAATGAAGTGTGCGGTGATAGTTTTAGGCGTGCTGGCCTACTGTGAAGGAGAGTCAAATTAGATTTCATAAGCTGTAAAACTCCACCTTTCATTAATACAAAAAGCAAATTATGAATTCCTCCAGAGGATATGTTTCACAAAACTTGGCCACTAGTTGCTTACCTTAGTTCTCTCATTATTAACTTTTAAAGTATTGGGGATTTTTAATTTTTTTTCTATTCTTTTGTTTGATTGCTGTTTGTGGCATTGCTTTTCCTTCTTTCAAGAAATTCATGTATTTCATTTAACTGGAAATGTCATTTCTTTGTGTGATTTTTCATGCTAAGGAAATACAAATAGTTCTGTAAAATATAATGAATTAAAGATGATTCTTTGTTATCTGGGAATACTTAACAGCGAGAAGAAATATTTCTGAGGTAAAGTGGTAATACAGTAATGTCACTTTTTATTGATAGTGAGAAAAACACATTTAAAAAATAGCTATTTTCAGTTTACTTTCTGGTTGGTGCCCACGACTGGCACATGATCTCCTTCTCATCCAATAAGAAAAACAACATAAATGCAAAGTTTGCGGCTCTTAAGTAAGCATTTATTGTGTAGTAATAAATAAAACATACCTAATAATATAGTTAGCGTTAGCACATTGCTCAGTTAAAGGTCATCTGAAACATTGGGTAGAGTCCTGTTTCTTCCTGAATACTCACTTTGTTGAAGGCAGCTCACTAAACAGGTAAGGTCAAAAATGCAGCAGAGATAGATATTTGTATCATGCTGTGTACATGGATATATTATCCTCACATTTATCTTATCACTTGTTTGCAAATTTTCACAACAGCCACTTACTATAGCATTATCAACACTCGTAAGACTAAGTGGTATCTGCCTGACATAGGCTTTACATATAGTATATCCTAAAAGTTCATATTTTGGCACTTCATGTACAGTGCAGATTATAACATCTGGTTGGATTATGTAGACCAAAGAAGTTGTGAGATATGTGAGTATTTTTAGAACAGATTGTTAACTGCATGAAGCACTTTGATCTGTGAGGTCTGTGAGCATGAGGAGGTCTTCTGCAGAAAATGTTACGGTCCCATTTTCGTTAGCTTCCTCCGAATTTTTAGGATCTGTGGGATCTTTCTCACCTAAGCTGAGCTAGTAAAGGAATCTTTATAGGGCAAGTAGAGAGATGCATTTGCCTTATAAAGCCTTCAGATGAGCATCTTCTATAGAAATACAGTTGATCCAACTGAGGAAGGAAATAATGTGTTTCTGACCCAGTTTTCAGAATTTCATTTTGGGAGCCTTCAAAGTCAAGAAGTTCTTTCCTTTGACAGTATAAGGAATTCACATGGAGAATCATTCCATGGCATATGAAATTTTAGTCACAGGTTAGGCTGGATTCTACTCAATGAAGAATTGATTTGGGTGGTTAAGAATCTTTTCAGGGCTCTTTTTCATCAGCAAGTAAGGAAATATAATCTGTATGGAAAAAAAAGAGTTCTCATTGTACTATGGATTTAAAACATATGCTATCAGAAGTGTTTGACTTCCACTTGTAACATGATGTGACAGAAATTAATCCTAAACAGCTAGAATACGTTACAACATAGTAATTGATTACTTACCTGGTTTTAGATTAGAGTTTCAAAGAGTTAAACTTCATCAACCTTAAAATAGAGGTAGTATTGTTACAAGAATGTTGAAAAGTTTGC